TGCTATTTTAAATTCCCAGGCAGCTAAAATCTTTTGTCTTTAAAGCAATGTCGATTTCTTGGGAAATTCCGAGGTTGCGTTCTTTTTATACACCCTGTATTGAAGTAATCTAATGTTGTTAGAATTTGAATGGACTGGCACTTTGCTGAACGTAATAATGCGTAACTCCGTAAGACTTGTTTTAGACATTGAATTTCGGTCGCGTGAAATGCAACTAAGACAATAGATAATGAAGGCCGAAGCTTAGTGAGGTTTATCATCTCATTATTGTCTTAGTACTGAATGCATAAATTATACACGTCCTAATTACGCATTCAGTAATATTTTTTGTTAATTGACCGGGAAAAGCAAGACAAAATTTTGTTCATTTCTCGTTCAATTTTTAACCAAATTCAACCAAATTTTAATCAGTTCTTCCTTAGCCGATGGGAAATGCATTCAAAAAATTTCGTTCGGATATGTTGGGTATTTCTTGAGTTATCGTGCTCACAGACAAACACACACACACACACACACATACACACACACACACATACACACACACACACACATACAAACCCAGATGATTACATAACCTCCTGGCGGAGGTAATAATGACTTTATTTAAACTGGAGAAAAAAGACCGATCAGCATATTTACAAGAAATAGCTGCTATTAACCGGTGCCCAGCGTCGTAAAGGATTTCCATGGTAAAAAAAAAAAAAATTACTATTTTACACTACATTACTATTTTACACTACATATATGTTCTTTTTTGTCCATATTTAATAAATACTTAAATACTTTAGTTTTAAAGTTTGATAAAGATTGTACTCTACGCAGTTCTTGAGGTAGCTCATTCCAATCTTTAGAAGCAGCACACTTAAACGACGATTGTCCCATTTTCGTTTTTTGTTTTGATAACATGCAATAGTATATTGTCTCTCAAGGATCTACTATGCATTTCAGATCTTCTAACCAAATAACCTTGTAATTCGCGAGGACAGTTAATGTTATGCACGATCTTGTAAACAAGTTGAAGTCGTAAAAAACGTCTTCTGCTCTCGAGTGAAAGTAAATTCAGCTTGCTACGCATTTCCTGTGAGCAAGTTTTGCGATTTGCATTAAGGATTATTCTCATAGCTTTATTTTGAAGACGCTCCAGTAGTCGTTTTGCATTACCTTTATTTACCACAGTCTCCCCATACGATACATCCATAATCAAAAATGGGCAGAATTGTTTGCTTATATATCCTCAGTAGGACGCTACGACTTAGGAATTTCGAAACTCGGTTTAGCATTGTTAGTTTATGGCAGACTCTACCGGTTATGTAGTCACTTGTTTATTCCACTTCAATAAATGGTCCATATACACACCGAGATGCTTGAAAAATCTAGATTGGAGTTTTAAAATTTTTCCTGAAAGAGTGATTTGTATGTCCCGTGCGTTCGATATTGCATATCTGGATCCTATTAACATTACTTCTGACTTTTTATGATTGCTAATTAATCCATTGCGACTTAACCAGTCATCAACTTGGGTTAGATCCTCATTTACACAGTGTTCTGCAATGCCAATATCTTTCGAACCAGAATGAATCTCCGTATCATCAGCATACAAAAAAGTATTACTATTTTCACAAACATCCGATATTCCATTTATATACACATTGAATAACGTCGGTCCCAGAACTGATCCTTGTGGGACTCCATAGCTTATACTTCTCTTATCGGATTGCACATCCTGATAAGAAACAAACTGAGATCTACCTGGGAGACAGTTGGCGAACCAATCATACTCTCTGTCTTTCACACCATATTTCATAAGCTTATTTAGGAGAACTTTATGATTTATAGTGTCAAACGCTTTCCTAAGGTCCAGAAATGCACAGACTAACTTCTCTCCTTTGTCAATGGCTAATTTCCATGAGTCGACCAGCATGATAAGCGCAACTGTTGTGGACGAGTTTTTTGCATAGGCATGTTGGTTTGGTTTAATTAAGCCATTATCCCACGCAAATTCCTGAAGATCTGAATTAACAAAAGATTCATGTATCTTCGAGACACATGGTAATACCGATATTGGTCGTTGATTATCCCGTTCAGTTCTACACCCACCCTTAAAAAGGGGGATAACCCGAGCTACTTTCCATAGGGAAGGGTAATGTCCGTTTTGGTAGGATGTGTTAAAGATCTTAGTTAACACTTGACTTATGTATGGTGCGGCAATTTTTAAAGCTTTAGCTGGAATTTCGTCTGCACCAGTTGCTTTACCTGTATTCATCATTCTTGGGGTAAAAGCTTTTATAAAATGGTGCTCACTCTGGCTTTGGAAATTATTAATGCCTTCCAATTCTTCTTCAAGTTGTTTAATAGCGTCGCTCTTTTTTTCTATGGCGCACTTCATTCGATTCATTTCAGAAGTATATTCCGGATGTTTATCCTTAATGCCGCAGTACGTAAATGACGAGCATCTTTCCATGATACATGGTTTAGTTTGTTGATTTCTGTGTCCTCGGTGATGAAAATTACCACAGACGACTTTATACCTTCCAATCTCAGGTAATTCCGGTACGATTATGTTCATTGATTCCAAACGGACTTGCATCACCTGCAACTCTTGTCGATTTGCACGAATTTGCTCTTCGACATTTCTTTGACGATTTTTGCAATGGCCGCTTTGCTGTCGTTGGATATTCCGTAGTCTTACTCTACGCACAGCTCTAGGTAACAGCAAATGCGGTGTTAGTATAATATCAAACTGAAATGTTGTACATTATATAATTTTATTGCAGCATAAACCATATAACCATATTTATATTTGTACATACCGCAGTGGAATTCTGCTTCGAGGTTTCAGTAGCAACGCCATGGGTAGTCTCATTGTCACTACATGATGAGTACATGCCTCGTCTGGTGAGGTTACGTTTTTATTGCAGCAATATTTAGAAGCCTTTCGATTCAACGGAGATTGTTTTTTTTTATCAAGTCAAGATGGTAGTCCAATATTTTCCTTGCCCCAAGTGGCAACTCCGATCCTTTAACTGATTTCTTCAAGATTTTCGCTATCTAACAATTTTACAGGTAAACTACGTGAAGCGTTCCTCTTTTCACTTCGTAACTCATTTGGAATTTTCCTCATTAGGTTTGCAAATTTGAAAAACTCTTTGCAAATCCCTTGAGGGAATTTGCAATGTTCATATCGGCTGTTGCAATATTCCAATGCAAACAAACTTCATTTTAAATTTTCCTGCTAGTAACTTCCTGTTTTAATTTCCTAACTTCCTGTTCTGTTCTGAGCGTTGTTACTGGTCGATTATTTTTGTTAGCCAATTGCAACGCCCAGAACAGAACAGGAAGTTAGGAACTTCTAACAGGAACTGAGGAAAATTTAATTGGGTTTTACCAACATTGCAAATTTCCTCAAGGGTTTGCAAGGGTTTTTTTTAAATTGCAAAAGTAATGAGAAAAATTGCAATCAATTTAGAAACTCAAAAGAGGAACGCTTCACGTACTTTACCTGTAACGCTAATGTAGACGTAAAATCATTTTCTCGAAGAATCGTGGCCATCTTTTGGTAACTTTGGGATCCTATTTTATCCCTAAAACTTAGAAGGAACTCGTCTAATTCGTCGCCCATATATCTGCTTATGCAACTCGGTACTTTGGTATTTCAATTCAGTACTTAGTTCAGTACTTAGTTCAGTACTTCCGTACTTTAGCCGGGTACTTCAGTACTTAATTCACCAACATGCAAATTGGGCTTTGCAAGTTCTCACGCAATATTCCAAATTTGGTAATGTAATCAGGAATATTCGAAACA